GAGCAGACTAGATTCTTGTCATTTTCCTTACGGCCAATAGATAGACGATCCGTTTTTGTGGTTATTTCATGCCTGATAGAAAAGGATATCGATCAGGTATTTGAATGGTACAAAATGTAGATAAGAAAGTCAAGCTTTTTTATTGTTTTATTTGCTTGTTTTGGGGTTTTTTGATCTGTCGTTTTAAATCAGAACAAAGGAGCTCTCCTTTCAAAGACCCCTTAGGCTGTGACCGTGTGGCTGGGGAACCGGGGACGGGGGCCAGCATGACTGAGGGACGAGGCCACGTTCATACACAGAATGCTTCCCCTTTCCCCGTGGCCGCCCCCAAGTCCCTCAGGCCCGGCACAGAGGACACTGGCCTTGTGTCCCCTCTGCTCCGGAGGGGTCTCTCCTGCAGGCGTGTACCCTCCTCAGTATACGTCCGGCTGGGGCAGACCCGTCGCCCATTGGCTCCACACTAGCCGAGTCCCAGGCAGGCAGGAAAGGCCGGGAATCTTCCCATGGTCTCAGGTTCCACCGGACGAGGGTCAAAACCACACCCCGTAACGCCTGGGCACGCGGTGGATGCCCAGTGAAGTCACGGTCCCCGCCCTGCGGCCCAAAGCACAAGCCCTCCCCCGCCAGCCCAACTGCCCCCACCTCGGCTCCCAGAGTAGCCTGTGTCCAGGGCTGGCCTTTGGACGCCAGCCCCTGGAGTGTCGCCGGTGGGTCGTGGCAGGCCTCGCGGACTCTGGGAGGTGAAGGAACCAGGACCTGAGCCGGTGGACGGTCCCTCCGTGTTTCCCTCCTCCAGCTGGATAGCAGCTGGCCACTGGGGCCAGGACGGGCAGGGGTGCAGTGGGGAGAGGTGGGCCGGGGTGTCTGTGGGCTGAGCTGCTCCCCTTTCTCCCTGGAGGAAGAAGCCTTGGGCCCTTCTGGAGTGTCTCCCAGGCCCTCCTCCCCCTCCCTCAGCTGCAACCCCAACCCCAGAGCTGGAGTCCTGGCTTCCTGCCCAGAACACGGTCCCACAGGCCCCCACGCATCTGCTCCCTCCTGGGCGAGCTTCTAGTCAAGTGTCACTTTCCCGGGGGCCGTCCCTGACCACCCAGAGCGTCCGCTTCCCTTTCTGCTGCACCTAATTTCCTGTGTGATTCCCGTCGCCACCTGACGCATTGCACACGGGCTACTGGAGCGCCAGCTTTTGGGACAGAAAAGGCCCAGAACTGTTCCCCAGCCTCCCACGAGGTTGCACGTCGGCCACCTGGTGCCTGGGGCAGCCGGCCCGGGCCGGCCCAGCCTCTGCCCGGACAGTAAGGCACAGAGGCCTGAGGGCGTTTCCTGTCCTGTGTGTGTCTGTGCATGTGTGTATGTCTCTGTGTGCGTCTGCATGTGCGTGTCCGTGCATGCGTGTGTCTGCGTCTATTTGTGTCTGTGTACGTGTGTGTCTGCACGTGTGTATATGTCTTGTCTTTGTGCATCTGTGTGCATCTGTGCATGTGTATGTCTGCACATGTGTCTCTGAGTGCATGTGTCTCTGCGTGTGCATATATGTCTTGTGTGTCCATTTGTGTGTCTGTGCATGCATGTGTGCCTGCGTGTGCATCTGTGCATGTATGCACGATTTTGCATGTGTATGTATCTTGCGTGTCTACCTGTGTCTGGATGCTTATGTCTCTGTGTGCATCTATATGTGTATCTGTGCATGCATGTGTCTCTGCACGTGTATATATCTTGTGTGTCTACCTGTGTCTGTGCATGCTCGTGTCTGTGTCTGTATGTGTATCTGTGCATGCATGTGAGTCTCCGCACGTGTGTATGTATCTTGTGTGTCTACCTGTGTCTGTGCATGTGTGTGGGTCTGCACGTGTGTCTCTGTGTCTGTGCGTGTCCGTGTGCATCCATGCATGTGTCTTCATGTGTGTCTGTGTCTATGTGTGTGTGTCTGGACATGTGTGTGTCTCTGCACGTGTGTATATGTGTCTTGTGTGTGTCTACCTGTGTGTCTGGTGTATATTGTTTGCTTTTTGTGATTTCCATAGATGGATCGATTGAACCTGATCAAATCGCTCCTCCCAGCAGAGTACAGAGGAGCCGGGCGGGGAGACCAAAGCTTTTCATTCTCTGTCCTCCTGCGGCGTGTGCACCGTTTTCAAAGGCTTTTTCACGTGTGTCACCTGAGCCTGTTGACACCTGAGCTCAGGTTGGACAGGGGCTGCTGGTCACCTCTTGGAGCACCTGTCCTGTGCCGACCCAGGCAGAGCTGAGAACAAGCCTTTCTGAGGCTCCTGTCTGAAGCAGCAAGTGCATGGTAGGGGGACGAACCCCAAACAAGGACAGAGGACGGTTTTTCAGACTGCGACGGTGTCACTAGGAGGCAAATGGAATGGTGGGGCACGTGGGGCGTGTGGGGGACACTTTTAAACGACCCGGTGGGACCACGCTTTTCTGAGGTGACAGTGGAGATGGACCAGTAACGATGTGAGGGAGCCACCCAGTGGGGGGCGGGAGAGACAAAGGACACCTCAGCTCCCAGGAGAAGGGGGTGAGGTCCTGGTTCACGGGGTCAGCCCACCCCACGTCCAGCCTGAGGACATGACCGCGGGAGGGCTGGGAAGCCCAAGGCTGAGGGAGATGCTTGCCAGGCTGGACGACCACTGACCTAAGCCCCGTCATGTCACAAGGGAAGTCCTCGCCCCCTCCCACCCCCGATGGGGGGCTTGCCTTTCCACCTCCGTGTCAGTTCGGAGGTCACTTCCTGGGCCTCGCTGGGTGACCCTGTCTAGTTACCTCTTCTGCACATAAATGATGCTGACTGTGAAGGGAGGAAGCGGTTTCATCTCTGAGGATGAAACCGTCTCCCCAGTGAAACCCACCTTCACCTCATGCTCCTCTAACTTCCAGCTCCAGGAGGGCGGAGCCCAGCCCTTCACATACAGCCTGGGAGACACTGACGGGGGAGGAGTTTGGGCCCTCCTTGCTCCAGAGTTTCCAGTGGGCTCCACTGCAGGCCAGGCACCCAGCCTCAGTGGGGGGAGGGGGGTGCAGGGAGAATGCCTCCCCACCCCCAGAGGCTGCAGCTCGCGGGGAGCAGCCGGCAGCACAGGGAGTGAGGGGGGATATAGAGGCACCTGGGGTTCTTCACCTGCCCGCTTCAGAAACCCTCTGGGAGGGTGTGGCGCCTGTGGCCAGGTTCACTCACCTTGCTAACCATGACTTTGGGCTGACATTCGTACCCCCTGTCCCCATGGGGCTGGGGTCCAGAAGCTGTGTGTGCTCAGAAGAGGCCACATCTACAAGTACTGTGTCCCCGGGCTGGCGATTCTGGGCATCTGGGAGGCAAATGAGGCGCACACACGCCCAGAGCCGGGGAGGTGGCTCCTCCCGCACGCACCGGTACCGCTCAGTGCCCAGCCCGTCCCGGGGTTAGGGCGAGGGCGTGGTCCCCTCGGGGTGGGTGCGGCCTGGCGGGCATCAGGAGTCTCCGGATTTGGGTCAAACCCCGCGCTCCTCTCGTTCCGACCGGCGCAGGCCCCATCGCCTCTTCCTCCCCCTCACCGAAGCGGGGGCGTGGGGCACAAGGTCGCCGTCTGGCGGCGCAGACGCCCAGCGGCTCCGGGGAGGGACTTGGCCTGGGTTTGGGCCCTCGCTCGTCTGGGGAGGAGCTGAGAGGCCGCAGCTAGCGGCAGGCGGCGGGGACGGGCCGAGGATGCGGGGCGGGGGCCAGGC